TCAGCAGGGAGATGACCCACAGGTATTGAGACAGATGGACAGACAAACAGTGATGGCCACAATCTCTATTAACATGTCGGCAGCATGTGCCTGGCCCCGGTGCCATGGCCGGGGCTGGAATGTTACCAGCAAAGCAGGCAGCAATGGGTGGGGGCTGTGGAGTGCAGAGTCCCAACAGGTTGGGGTCCCTGTCACCAGCCCCACAAAGTCTCATGGAGTAGGAGTGGGGCTGTGGGGGTGGGAAGCGTGTCTGGGTGAATGGTAGTGTCTGTGGGAGCGTGTGTCTGTGTGTGGGGAGGAAGTGAGAGTGTAGGTGTGGGTGGGTGAAAGTATATGTATGGGAGCGTGGGTATTGCTGAGTGTGAGAGTATATGTATGGGAGCATATGTGTGTGGAAGGAGGGTGTAGGTGTGTTTGGTTGTGTGGGAGGTGGGGGGTTGCAGGTGGGAGTGCATGTGTGACACATCTGGTCTTAGCAGCTGGCAGAGAGGTTAGGAGTTACACTCCCTTCCCCAGCCCTGGTCTTAGAGTGGGGGAGGGAATCCTTCTGCCCCCATCAGGGACCACAGCTAAACAGAGCTGGGGGCGGGGGATCACAGGTGGAGGTGGACAGCAGCAGGCGCCAGGGCTCAGAGCTTGTGGGGGTTCACCCAGCGGTAGGTGCCCTCATACTGGAAGCCAACCTTCTTCAGCAGATCGTCTGCTTCGGGGGGGCCCCGGCTGGAAGACAGACCCCCCAGCCACCCTCAGGTCAGCACTATGTGTTTGTGCGTGGGGGGTGGAAATGGGGCAGCCCCAGCCCTGCCCTCAAACCCTCCTCCTTGGCCCAGCCATACCCTGCTAGGCCCCAGCCATGGCCCTCACCTGCCATAGACATAGGGGATGGGCTTGACCTTCTCAGCCTCGATCTGGTGCAGAAGGGGGGTGAAGATGCGCCAGGCCTCGCGCAGCTCATCGCTGAGGGGGAGCGACAGTGTCAGAGACACCAGCTAGGGAGGGGGGGCAGGGGCAGGGGGCCAGGACCAGCACCCACCTGCGCACAAAGTGCATCTGGTTCCCGCAGAAGACGTCCAGGATGAGGCGCTCATAGGCATCTGGCAGCTTCACATCCTGGGGGAGATGGGGTAGGGAGGATGGGGGGCATTAGCTGGGCTGGGCGGCCTGCAGCTTCAGGTGGAGGGGAGAGGTGGGTCCCGTTGGCTGTCCCCAGGTTGCAGGGCAGAGCAGGGGGCATCTGGTTTCCTTCCCAAGTGTTTGGGCTAGAAAGAAATTCTCCTACACACACTAGCATCATCGATAGTTCCAGTAGCGTCACATATAGTGAGCACCATCCACGGTGATGGGTCACAAGGGTTGTTTCCCTCCCACCCCCACCCTGTTTCTCAGCCTGTTTGTGTGTTGGCTGCAGCCCATGCTGGGGGATGTGACAGGGTCGTGTCAATGCTCCTGCTGGGACTCAAACCTGGCTAGAGAATCTTGCCCTTCTGCTCAGGGTCACTGATACGGTCTTGCAGTCAGGAAGGAATTCCATCCCCTACTCAGACTGGCACAGGCTGGGGGAGGTTTTGCCTTTCTCGAACATCTGCCTGGGGTCTTTCTAGTGCATCAAACCACCCTGGCAGTGGCCAGACACTGACATCCTCATCCCCCGGCTTCCCCTGGGGCAGGCTTGCAACAGGCCACATGGTTGGGCCCAAACTTGTCTTTGGACTGCCTGGCTGCAATACTCTGGCCTTAGAGCAACTGCAGGGGGGCAGTGGGAGCCGGGTGGGTGTGGGAGCCATCAGTCCAGGACCGGGGCGGGGGGAAGGGGGTTTGGAGGAGGAGGTGGTACCTTGTAGCGACTGCCATAAGTGAGATCGAGCTCAGACTCCTCGGGGTTGAAGAACATGCCAGGCTTCTTGGTCATCATCTTGGTGTAGACGGCCTCGTTGGGCTGCACCCGCACCACCAGTTCATTGCGCTTGCACTGGTTTTGGAAGATGTCACCTGGGACATCCCGGAACTGCAGCCGCACCTCAGCCTTGCGCTCATTCAATGCCTTCCCGCAGCGCAGCACAAATGGCACCCCTGTGGGTAGGAAGCAGTTAAGGGCATCAGAGTCTCATTTCCCCAGCAGAACAGACAGCTACTGTGCAGCCAGGAAGGAGTTAGAGGAAACCACCTCCCCTACAGCACAGATGGTGCCCCTGAGGGCAGTAAGGGGGTTAAGGACAGCGGGTTCTCTCCCCACTCTCTTCTTGTGCACACATGTAGAAATAGTACAGACAGGAAGAGGTTAAACAAAGCAAGCCTCCACCTTGCCCAACAGGTACTCAGCATTACAGAGAGCACCAGTACATACAGGAAGGGGTTAACCAGAGCAAGGGGATAAAGCACAGCTCCCGCCCCAACCCAAAAGAAGGGTACTTACCATCCCAGCGCTCATTGTGGACATAGAGGGTGGCGGCAGCGAAGGTGGGAGTGTTGGAGCCAGGGGGCACAGTGGGGTCGTCGCGGTAACCCTGGCATGCCTCACCCTGCCCTGTGGGGTCACCCATGTACTGGCCCAGCACCACATCACCCAGCCCCACTGGTGAGATGCATTTCAGCACCTTCACCTGTGGGAACAGGCCCCTGGGGCAGGTCAAGGAAAGGGCAGAGACCACCCCCTCCAGCCCCCTTCCCAGGCCCTGCAGCAGAGCAGGGAATGGCCAGTTTCGTTCCCAGGCTTCTGGGCTTTGCTGCCTGCCCTATGGGATCAGGACGGAATTTCCCCTCCCCACCTTTGGCATGACTGACATTGTCAGTAAGTTCCAGAATAAACACACACGGTGATGGACTACAGGGATGTGGAAGAGATGCATGTGAGGATGGCAGGGGTGAGAATGGATTGAGGAGAAACACATGGATTATAAAGCATGTGTTCTGGGACACTGGACAGGGCAAGGAGGGAAAGAACAAGGAGGAAGTGAACTGTTGACATTGCAGTGACTCTCCTGCCTCCAAGACCCTTTCCCAGCACCAGAGCAGAGCTGAGGGTGTCCAGTTTCATTCCCTGGCTTCCAGACTTTGTTGGCTCCCCTGTGGGGTCAGAACGGATCCCCCCCACCGCGTGTGACAGATCCCCCCAGGGTCAGGCCAGGCTTGGAGCCCCCCAGACATCCTGGTGCCCACCTTCTCATCCCGCACGTCGTCAGGGTGGGTGGAAGCTGGTTTTTCCATGGCCACAAGGCAGAGCATCTGCAGCAGGTGGTTCTGCATCACATCGCTTCCGGGTGGGAGATGGGGGGAAGGGAGGGGGGTCAGTGCCAGTTCCACAGCCCTTCCCTCTGCCTTAAGAACATGGCCCCCAACCACCCCACCTTGCTCTGAGTGCCCTGCCCTGGCTTACCGGATGATGCCGAACTCATCAAAGTAGCCGCCACGGCCCTCTGTGCCAAAGGGCTCCTTGAAGGTCAGGATGACGCAGGCCACATTGTCCCGATTCCAGATGGGCCCGAAGATCCGGTTCCCAAACCTGCCCAGGAGGAAAGCACAGGGTGCGTGAAGGGCTATAGGAGGGATTGGGGTCTCATGTCCCCACAGCCAAGGACTGGCCTCCCCTGTGCCGACCTGAGCACCATGAGATTCTGCACCATCTCCTTGCCCAGATAGTGGTCGATGCGGTAGATTTGGTCCTCACGGAAGAGCCCCGCAATGTGGTTTGACAGCTTGTCCGAGCTTGCTAGGTCTTTGCCGAATGGCTTCTCCACAATTACCCGTGTCCAACTCCTAGAGAAGGGGGTGGAGGGGGCATGTTACGTGTGGTTGCAGCCTGGTCTGGCCCTGAACCCTGCCACCCATCTCCCCGCCCTGTGATTTCCTGCCAGCCCCACCCCTGTAAGGCTCCTCATCCCTGGCTCATACACACCCTCCATTCATCCTCCAGCTCCGTGGCCTCTGACCCCCACCTCTGCTCCCCAGCTCCTCACCTCTGCCCCACACAGATTTGCCTCCCCATCAGCCACCACCCCCTTACCCCTGGTCCATGCAGGCCTGCCCCATTCAGTCCCCAGCCCCTCACTACCAGCCCTGTGCCCTCTGACCCCTTGCCCCTGCCCCACATAGACCCCTTCCATATCATTCCCCAGCCCACGCTCCACACAGGCCTGCCCCCACCCCCTCATTCAGCCCCCAGCACCTCATGCCTGCCACACACAGGCCTGCTGCCCCCCAACCTCACCCCTGGCCCATGCAGGCCTCCTTGATGTGGTGGGTGACGTCCTCATAGACGCTGGGGGGCAGGGCCAGGTAGAAGAGCCGGTTGGCCTGGTTGCCCTTGGGCAAGCTGCGCAGGTGGGCGTCCAGGTGGGCAAAGGCTGCGGGCTCATCGTAGCGCCCTGACACATAGCTGTTGCGGGCGAAGAAGGCCTCCAGCTTCTCCCGCTCCTCTGGCACCACCTGTCACGTGGGGAGAAGCCCTGTCACTAGGGGAACCCAGACCCCAACACACGAGCCCAGCCCCGGGGCATGGGAGGACCCCAAAACAGCTTCCCACCTCCAACACCCTGCTCCAGGATCCACCCCCTCAAGACCCCAGCTCTGGGGCAGGAACAGAGGGCCCCCACCTTGAGGTAGGGCTCGCTCTGACGCTGGATGTCAGCCACGGTGAGCTGAGAGCGGGCAAAGCCAACAACGTAGGTGTCATCAGGCAGAAGTCCGTCACGGAATAGCCACCTGCGGTAGAAGGGGGCAGTGTATTAGGGCTGTGGGAATGCTGGGAGAGGGATGGGGGGCAGGGATTGGCACTTACCAGACTGTTGGGTAAATCTTTTTCTTGGCCAGGTCGCCCTTGGGGACAGAGAGAGAGAGAGAGAGAGAGAGAGAAAAAAGCGCGGGGGGGGGTATCACAATGGGGCACAGCCCAGGATCCCTCCAACCCAGTCCCTTTCCCAATGGCTGTACCCTGCTCCCCTCTCCTGACACAGCACTGTTGTTGGCCCCATTGTTGTGAGACTTTTGTGCCTCTATCTAGGTCAGGGCAGCTTACCCCCGCCCACAGTGGCCGGCCCTCTCACGCCACCCAACAGGACTGGGACTGATGCCAGGCTGTGCCTGCCCAGGGGCAGGGAAGGGGTGGATTTGGGATTGCTAAGCAATGGGAATCTGCTGAGTCAAGGGGGCTGGGCCCTGGACAAAGGGCAAACATGGG